TGTGCCGGTGTCTGAACGCTCACTCACTGCTAGCTTTGTAGCTAACTGTTAGGCTACTTAGCTTGCTAACTGTTAGGCTACTTAGCTTGCATTGTTATGGATCTAAAGGTAGCAAAAGCTAACTTTCATAGCACAGCTTTACTTCTCACTTACCACAATAAAGAAACAGACCGTATAGTACAGCACAAACAACACAAATGATCAATACTTACATATATTTTCACTTGTAGTATTATAATAATTGAAATGCTGGTTCTTCTGCGGGTGTTCTATCCACGCTCAGCCAGCCACCGCACCGCAGCTGCCTGCACTGTACAATCGCTGGAGGACTGGGCTGTCACTCAAAAACTGAGTAGCCAATGGGGACGCACCCCTGAAAGTCCCGCCCACCTGGGAGGTTTGTGTCAGAATCTCAAACAAAAAATGAGGGAGCGCAAAAGAGAAAGCTGCAGCGAGAGCAAAAGTCTGATCATTGAGAAAGAAGAAACAAGAACTGCAAACAAAAACCTATGTTAAAACAAAGAAAAAATACTTATAGTTTACATGATTACACAAATGATTTGTTTGCAACTTATAGTTTTATTTTTGAAATTTATTTTATTTTGCTTGACTCAGTTTTTTTTCTTTTGAACTCATAGTTTTGCTTTATTCTGAGAAAGTGTTGCTTTATCTTTATGATACAAAACTAATCCCATAGGAGTGGAGCTCCACCAAAGTGTTGAAGTTTAGGAAGTTTAAAGAGTCAGTCTGTAGCCTATGTCCGGTACGTAGTGTCGGCGATATCTCAACATGTGCTCTTGCTCTAGGGAAGCAGACCATTAGATAAACGAAGTAGAAGTTAAAAATAAAAACCAACTGCCGATAAATCCATCTGATATCCCAACACTAATGCTTGAAATGTACGGAGATATAAAAGGTCTCTTAACGTGAATTAGCACAAACAGGGGTGATTAAACATATCAATCTCTGGGAAGGATGGTAAAGGCTATTTCACAAAATGTACGATTATTCCTTTCAAGTGTGTCCGACCTCTGACCTTTGTGTGCATCCAGCCGCTCTGTGGAGATGAACGGCTACACGGCGGCCCTCAGAGACCAGTACATCAACAACTCCATGTCCACACACTACCAGCTTCTGCCCCACCTGTTCAGCTACGCCGCTCAGTCGGGCCTGCTGGCCCCCCAGCCCCGCAGCCTCTACCCCCAGTCCCACCCCCTGGTGCTGCAGCTGGTGGCCGCTGAAGACCTGGCCCCCCTGGCAACCCCCATGCTCATAGAAGACGGGTGAGTCAACGCAGACGCAACCAATCATATTCTCGCCCCCTCACTACAATGCAACACAGATCAGGGAATCCAGAACGTGTTGTTAGTGTGGTGACTTACAATATGCCCTGCATCATGTTAGAGCAGGGTTCTCCAAACCACGGCCCGTCGTCCATTTGGAAATGGCCTTCAGCAAATAGTCTAATGGAATATGGCCCACACCTGAAACTTGGGCCACTAGGATCTATTTTCCACAACAAACCAGTATTTTGAATTTTCTTGCTGAGTTCTTAACCGCCCTCTTGTGTCTGACAGGTACAAAGTGACCCAGGTGGAGCTGTTCGCGCTGCTGTGCCGCCTGGCAGACGAGCTGCTCTTCCGCCAGATCTCCTGGATCAAGAAGCTGCCGTTCTTCTGCGAGCTCTCCATAGAGGACTACACCTGCCTGCTGAGCTCCACCTGGCAGGAGCTCATCCTGCTCTCCTGCCTCACCATCTACAGCGCACAGATCTTTGGAGACCTGGCCGACGTCACCGCCAAGTACACGCCGTCTGACGACGAGCTGCAGGGGTGAGTGGCAGGAAGATGTGGATAGATGTTCTATAAACTCAGGTCTCATAACTCTGCCACAAAGGAGACAGCCCAGTTATTATGGTTTGAATGAGTGTGATAACCAACACAGTATAATAGTGGACAAAGTTACTGTTTACCCTTTTAAAGCCATTTTTAAAAGTAACATTTAAATCTCAAATTCCAAGGTGGTGTCTTTTAAATGTCTTGTCAGTCTATAACACCAAGGTATTCATTTTTAAATGATACAAGCAGAAAAGCTTCATAGGCTCAAAACATATTCTTTGCTACTTTTGCATGAAAAATAACTTATTTTGATCAAATGATGCCAACTTTAAATCCATCATGCAGTAACATATTGACAAGTAACTGAACCAATGTCCCTAATTCATAGGTGTTGGTAATATCTCCGTAAAGGGAGTCAGGTCTCCTGCCTGTGGTGGCTATTGCACCATAACACAACAGAGATGCTAGATGTAGCCTCTGGGAGCCAATATTTCACTCGTAAGAAAGGTGGATGAAAGATAATAATAAAAAGCAGTCCTGTGAAAGGCGAGTTTCCCCTCTTTATGAGTATCTCCAGGCGTTTGATGTCTCCCTTATCACGGCAGGGAAAGTATTGTAGTTGGCTGAGGGCCAGTGGAGTGGTCCAGGAACAGGGGGCCTCCTCAGGACAGAGCTGTGGCTAGCACCGTCTAACATGTGAAATACATGCATGTCCCACGCCGGGCAGAAAAGGATGAGTGGGGGTTTGGATCTGTGTAAATCACACCAGAATGATCTGACCTCATGACACACACTCTACTAATATACGGTGCTTCTCTGCGGCTGCAGTCGACTCGCCTGTAGTTTAGGAGGGAATATCTGATTTACAGAGACACGTTTGTGAGAGGCAGAGAGACAGGGCATTGGGCTTTGATGAGTGGAATTACACTTTGTGAACCTTTTCTAACTCCTTTCAATAGCTGTGGGATTAGCAAGATGTTTATTAAGCACTTTCAGTAGATTTGACGTATTCCCTCCCTTATTTTTTCCGTGTTCATTGGAGCATAAAGTTTAAGATAATGGGGTTTGAGGGATTCAAAAAGTTTTGGCAGTGGATTAAATTGTGAATGATATGGTTATTCTATACATGTATCCTACTAAAACCCAGTCTATCTTCCTCATCCAGAGGGACACACCCTAAGCATCTTGATATCAATGTTCCTCACCGCTACGTATTCCCAGCATAATGAGCCGGTCTGTGTGTGACTTCTCAGATTCAGCGAGGACGGGATGGAGGTGATGGAGAGGTTGATTTATCTCTTCCGCAAATTCCACCAGCTGAAGATCAGTAATGAGGAGTATGCCTGCATGAAAGCCATCAACTTCCTCAACCAAGGTAACAATCTGATTTGACAGAGTTCAAGCTTTTATTAACCCTAACAGTACTCCCAACATAAAGCTTTAATAACAATAAAGCTTTAACTATGTAGCACTTTTCTTACAGCAGGCAGTTCAAGGTGCTTTAACAACATAGCACAGATTACACATTAAAAGAGAGAAGAAGAAACCCCCCTCAGATCAGACAGACCTTTCTGGAAACATGCAGCATGGCAACATCATATCACATTTGAACAGTTTGGGAGACAAGGGGGTAAAAGGTATGATAATACCATTCACTAAATAATGACCCATCAGAAAAATGAAGGAAGACATAAGACAAAATGAAAAGATACAGTAAAATATAAAAACCTGTAAAATAATAATAAAACGTTGTAATAGTTATAACGAAGGTTAAAGAGGAAATGTAGCTAATAAAAGTTTTAAATAAATAAAAGAGGTAGAAACCTCTAAATAAATTGAAGCTGACCTCACCTTTTTATCCGCAGATATCCGAGGACTGTCCAACACCTCGCAGCTGGAGCAGCTCAACAAGCGCTACTGGTACGTGTGTCAGGACTACACGGAGTACAAGTACCCGCACCAGCCCAAACGCTTCCCTGAGATCATGATGTGTCTCCCGGAGATCCGCTGCATCGCAGGTGAGGCTCCTGAGAGCTGGATAGATCTTCAGTGCTTCTATAGTCCTTAACTCTAATATGGTGGACTGGAAGACCTCAATGCGCCACGTAGAGGCCAAATAGTTACATTTAAAGGATTTATGTTCATCATTTAAAAGCAATACATTTTTGTTATGGTGTTTTGCTTAAGAGTTGACATGAGCGTTTACTAAATTGCATAATTTGAATGATCTGGTACATCTGAATATCACCTGGCCAATCCCAACACATCATTAGGTGCAGACCAGCCCGTTATCTAGCGTGTCCTGGATGAGTAGTGGGAGATGACCTGAGAGAATCAGAATGACCTTCTGCACCAGATACACATCTCACACTTTTTTATGTATTATTGTTTTCTTATTCATATATTGTATGAAGTGACTATCAGAATGTTCATGCACAATAATCAATAACTAACGTTTTGTGATTGTTCTGTGTTGTTCTTGCAACTGTTGAAAATGTTTATGAACTTAACGGAACATTCCAAATGTATATTTTTGTATAGATGTTGCAATTGTACAAAACTCTGGCAATACATTGTCATTATGGTCATGCTTATAAAGCTAATTACATTGAGAACCCTGGGCCAGTATAAGCTCCAAACCGTTTTGTTTTTAAAAAGAGAAAACCGAAAAAACATTGAAATGAAAAACAGGATGAAAAGAACGACCAGGCTGTAACTCTGTGTTATGGAACTGTCAGATGTGATGACCAAAGGAATGATCCTGCTCACCCATCACTGCCAAAGGAGTCACAATGTGATTCCTTTATTTGTCCCACAATGAGGAAGTGTACTCCAGCAGCAGAAGTATAGTACACATACAGTGAAGATAATACACTTGCATATTACAAAGTCAATAAATGGCTAAACTAGCACATGTTATTTGCCTATTGTAAATAAATTGACTGAAAATAAATACTGCTTGAATTGCACAAGGGTATATTGCACAGTGACCTCCCCCACCACACGGTTTGGAGATTATACTGGCACAGGGGTCTCCCACGTCCTCACTTCAAAACCTCATCCATTCTGTGTCCCTGCATCTGAGGGAGTGTTAGCTAACAGGCTGAACATGTGTTGGCTTTGGGACCTATTCAAACAGCACCTGGTCATTCAAACGATGCACTAAATGTTGATATCTTTAAATTGGTGAAAACAGTATGCCGTCTCTGCTCTGTGGTCCGTGAGGCTGACCCTCTGTGGTCCGTGAGGCTGACCCTCTGTGGTCCGTGAGGCTGACCCTCTGTGGTCCGTGAGGCTGAACCTCTGTTGTCCGTGAGACTGACCCTCTGTTGTCCGTGAGGCTGACCCTCTGTTGTTTGCAGGGAAGCTGGTGAACGTCCCCCTGGAGCAGCTCCCCCTCCTGTTCAAAGCAGTCTTGCACTCCTGCAAATCCAGCCTGAGCAGCTAGAGGAGCGTCCCCCCACCCTGCGGTACCGCCTCCTCCGGAAACTAGACCCCCCCCGACCCTCCGAGGCGAGGGACTGGTCTCCCCTCTTGTGAATGTGACAAGCAACTAGTTTGTTTTTTGTAACTTTTTTCTTTCTATATTTATTACTCGACAGAGCTGAATGTATGCTGATTTACACTGTGCACATGCTTCTGTACAAAACAAATGCTCGTAGATGCATTGGTCTTTGGAGTTTACAAGTGTGTATCCAGTTTGCTCAATGTGTCAGTGTTGCTATTGTTAGAGCTAGACTTTAAAAGAGTTTATTTTATTCAGACGGAGGCGGATAAACATATGTGACGAGTGTTTGAGAATAACTCAGGGAAATGTTGTTGCTATGTTCAGGTACCTTTTCTTTCTGTTAGATGAAGAGTTCCCTGGTCAAAAACCAATTCCCCCAATCAGATACGGAGTGTCCACGGGAGCTGCATAATCAAAGATTGAACCAGTGTTTAGCTTCACTGAAAATGCAAAAGTTGAGCTTCTATCTGCATGGACTCAGTCATCCTGCTCCATGGGAGGCGGTCGTGTCAGTTTAACATTCCATGGGTTAAGGTGACAGTTGGATCTGCGGTATCTTTATTGAAAAAAGGAGCATACGGGTATTTTTTACAATCATAGACTGGGGATGTAAGGCTTTATTGTGGGGAAGGGGATTGTAGTTAGGTTTGCTGTTTTTAGTTGTATCTTTTCCCCTTTTTGACCAAAGTGTTATGCAATGCTTTTTTCCCCACTGATGGGTTGGGGGCTAATAGCTCCACAAAAAAAAAGTCTTATCAATGAAGGATCAGGATAAGAAATGAATCAATCTGTGTCAGAGGGGAGACCCCTTGCTGGGCAGACGAGTGTTTTGCCGGATTTCATTCTAAATGCTGCTAAACATGCACAGATTTTTGTGCACACATATATGCATAGAGCAGATGTGATGAGATTGTATTTCCCTCTGATTCTTTCAGACGGCTTGTTTCCCGTCTGCTCCCTTCAGTGCAAGGAACTTCATGCATTGTAGCCTCGACAAACTATTTAGGGTTCTCTGTTGGGTTAAAGGGGAAGTTTGTGAAATCTTGGATTTGACTAATTATTCAGAACAAAGCAAAGTTCAGAGAGCCAATGCTTGGTGTTTTGAACAGGTAGAGATCTTCATGGGTCAAGTAAGTCAACCTGACCTACTAGAACCAGAATGGAAGTGACAACAAACATTTTGCGTAGAATGCTAGCTTCTGTTAGCTCATCCAGCTTCAAACCCAGATTGAAAACCACTGGTCCGTTCAAAAGTCTCATTGGGCAGTTTTAGAGGAACTTGGACTGTTTTCGGGTCTTGTCAGGTCCAATCAAAGTTTTGCACAGACCCAAGACCAGAATCAGTTAAAGTTGGACCGGATCCAGATCCAAGAAGCCCTAGAACGTGTGGAGCTGAGCTTCAGGTCCGATTGTTTATTGGCTAAGGTTGGCCAAAAGACCAATAACCCACATTTCTTAATGAATTGTCGTATAAAAGTTTGCAGATGATCAGTTTAAAGGATGCAACTTCTGGCAGTGTCTCACTGGGGTCGAGGTTCAGAGTTGAAGTGACTTTCCTCTGGCTTGCATACCCTCTGTGACAGATATGCACATCGTTTAAGCCATATAGGAAATGGTCTTTTATTTTTTAAGTATGAGATGATAATTTCAAGCCGCCTGAGGCATCTTCTTGACTCCTCGGGTTCTTTGCCATTTCATGACGGACGAACAATTTGAAATGCATCTTTGCATCTCTCTTTTTTTGCACACGACGGTGGGGTTCGGAGACCTTGACCTTTAACCCTGGTCCATGCCTGCCATGCCATGTTCCTCTCTCAGGTCCCTGCAGACCTGAATCTAAACAGGGTAAAGTTAGTGTTATGTATTGCATTCGGGAGTTCCTCAGTGACCATGCTGATGTAATTGTAGTAGATGTAGGTTCCAGGACATTGTAGGTCCTAAGTAGAAAAGTGTTTCCCCCTCCTTCATTCAGTGGATGCAGTTTGAAGATTAGACCTGCAGGGGGAGTTTTCCTCTGGGTGTGGGTGATGGACAGAGAGGTCCCTCCTGCAGCGCTGCATCTTCATCCTGTCAGCCCCTTCTCATCTTTTGATTTTTATACAGTGTCATGTTCCTTTTTAGTTATGATGTTAAAGTTTTGGATTTTTGTTGTTTTTCACATATTCATTGTCTTTTGTGTGGACAGGGCAGTGAAGACAGCCCTTGTCATTTTCTAAACTTTGAAAGAATGCTTAACTTTTTTTGGACATGATTTCTAGTAACTCATTCCTTTGTCCACCGTATTTTATGAAAAGGTGATATACAGGCGATGTGAGCCATGTCTCACATGGACTTGACATCTTATGTATTTTGAATCATTTTACAATGCAAAAGTGATGCTTTGGAGCCATCTGTGGTTCCAAACTTGAATTAAATTACACTAATGTTCTACCACCATGATTCTAAGAGCAGCTAAGACGTGGACAATATTTTATCTCACTATTTAGTCAAATGTGCATCATGCATCACACAGGCTTCTGAGGTTAAAGGGTCATTTCACCTAAATGACACAAAGCATTCAATATGTTTTCATCTGTAGTTCAGGTTTAGTTTGGCCTGCCATCTTCTCTACAAATGGATGGTGTATGGAATTGAGCTTGTTTTGGGCTGGAAGCAGAAACTGACAGGCCAAAACCTCCAAATCTAACCGCCAGGTTAAACTGCTGGTAAGTGAGAAAGTATTTGAGTGTCCATGTCTTTTGTTGAACTGAACCTAAAAACCACATAATCTCAGGGATATTTTCTTTATGTAAAGGAAAGTCTGTGCGATGCGATGTATCTTCAAAACAGAACCAGCTCCCCCAGACATCCTCCTCCACTGTTGGGAAAACGGCTTCAGTTTAGTTTCAAAAGTTGAAATAAATATCAGGTGTTGGTGTCAGACTGAGAGAGCTGTCTCTGCTGCCACTTTGCACGGACTTCATCAGTCCACCTACTGTGGCTTCACTCTGTAGCAGGGTGGTCAACAACAAAGTCACTTCATCTCAAAGTAACTGTAGGAATGCTGAACATCAGAGTGCTGAGATCTGACAGTGGAAGAGAATATGAAGGGGGGTCTTTCTTTAATGTAGCAGCAAATATCAAACTGCTCAACACAAATACCTTACTGCCACAGCTGTGACTTCCTACCTGTCATATTTTGAAACACGTGCTGAAGAAGTGTTCTTTTTTATTTTCTGTATTTTTTTTTGCAGTCAAGGGATATGTCATTTTCAATTTATGTACTGAAACTACCTCTTTATTTGTCATCATGTTGCTTACTTTCAAATAGATGCGTTTGTTGTCTTATTTATTGGTTTCATTGCACCAATGTTCTATTATTACTGTCGCTTTTTTCCAAACAGTGACCTCTCAGATGAATGAAACGCTCTGATACCTGTTTTCTTAATCTTTATTTTTTTTAAATGTGTAAACATGTTGCCTCATAATCCTCTCTACCTCAGACTCGCCTGCTGTCAGCAGCTTTATCTCCTCTGACCTCTGGCTGTCTCTCATCCTCTACCTCTCCTCTCTTTTTTCATTAATTTCATGTCAAATTAGCGTCATCTTTATTTCACTTTAGCCCTGTTAATCGTAAGTCCAATACCAATGATGAAAGAATGACAATGTCAGTGTTCTGATGAAGCATGGCATAATGCATTCTTGTTGCAGTAACCAGTGCTTTATTTTGTGTGTTGACTTTTTCCGAAAACGCCTTGTTACCCTGTGAATGGCTGTTATCCCTCTGTGCTCCATGATTGTTCATTGGTAAGAAAAACATGGAGTGCTAGCTGTTTCATATCAGACTCGGTCAATGCAGCTAGTGCTGGATCATCCATCGCGTTTACACGCCTCGCACGGGACTACAGATAACCGTCTTATCTCTGGGGTTGGACATGGATGGCTTTTGAACAAATGCTGCAAGCTTAAATTACTGATGTTTAACGTCATGACACCCAACTATTGTAATAATCTCCCCAACATTCTGGGTCATATTTGCATTTTTGCAAAGATAAGATGCAGGTTGTAAAGGAGCACGTTAAAGGCATACTTCAACCCTAAAATGACAGTCTCTGTCAATGACCCGCCCCCTGTTACCTTGCATTCATGAAGAAAGTGTGTCTCACATGCCTCCACAGTGAAGGAAAAACCCAGTCTTGATGAATGAAAGTAAATAGGGTAAGAGCTGAATTCAACAACAGCCCAACAAACAAGTACATTATGTTAATCCATTTATTCCACTGCTGAGGTCAGGGAGGACCCATCATCCAGCTGTCCTATAACAAGCCAGTTCGGCAAAGCCACATGTCCAGCCCCCCCACGTCAGCACTGTCAGAAACCTGAGAAGAGGAGCTCTGCAGCACTCGGTTACAGAAAGATCTTGTCATTGTTTAATGTTTCGATACGAAGTCATGACATTAATAATGTTCAACAACAAGCATTTAGTTGCTGCATACTATCAGAGCTCTTACTATGACCATGCGCTCCAAAGCTCCTCTGTTCAGACCCTGCTGTCAGGTCTGAGCCCCCTGCCCCGCTTGGGTCCAGCGGGACAGCAGCACACGAGGAGAGAGCCTGGGAGAAGTCAAGAACAATCGTGACATATCTCAGGGAAGAAAGAGATTTACGAACCGTCATCACCTGTGAACAGACATTGAAATGCTTTTCTCTTCAGAAATCTCTTGTCTGCTATTGTTACTTTAACTACCTGTGAAGAATGTGATCCATTACGTGTTAAAAGCATGATTAGAATGTGTTAGAACTTGAAACCAAATAAATGTGAACGTTATGCAAATGTACTCGGACTGTCCTCCATTTTTCTGTCCATCTTTGACTTTGATACGAAGAGAGAAGCAGATGATGAACTGGTGCGAAGCATGTTTATCGGTTCCTTACAGACAGTGCTTAAGAGCTTCACGTTGTGCCGTCCGGAGAGTGTCCCTGACCTGCTGCTCAGCAAACCCAATGAGTTATTCATGGGAAGATAATCTCATTCAAATAGACACAAAGTATGTTTCCACCTGTGAGGCAGTGATCTGTTTTAAACATGCCAAATGAATAGCAACAACAAGAAGCTGCAGTTCAATAAGACACATACTTTTGCCCAAAACGACTTACAATCAAAACCATAAAGATTAAAACTTCTAACAATAAGGATGTGCAGATATATTCACATGTATATCAAATCTTTTGCTGATTGTATTCATTAAATGTAGCATTCCCTGATATAAAAATACTTTCCATTCAACCATCCGATCTTTGACTTTATCTGCCTTTACTTGACGTTTATCTTTTGCACAAATGCTGCCAGCCTAAATGACTGATATGTAATGTCATGACATCCAACTATTGTATTCATCTTCCCAACATTCTGGGTCATATTTGATCTTTTGCAACTTTGAATTTCATTGTGTATGTTGTGAAATAAATATTCAAATGCAAAGTCCATACAATATACCATATTGACCAACATGAAACAGTTGACTGGTCAATTTGTCCACAGATAACTTGTGCTGCTTTTTTAATACTTACATTTTTATCAAATACATTTTTGTTTAAGCTGGCAATAGTTAATATTTTTGCATAGTCAAGTCCCATCAAAATACCCAAATGAACTATAAATGTATCCATGTCCGCAGTGTGTGTTCGAAGCCCTACAGCTCCATAACTGAACCAAAAATCATTACATTCACATGTGTGAGAATGAGTTGCATTAGGTGTTCCTACACATCCTTTAGTGCAACTCAAATATTCCATCTTCAGATGGCAGCAACATGTGGAAGATAATGTCACATCTACAAACAGTCAAATAAAGCTGTATAGCAAGGTGTTGAAATGAATGAGAAGGTGCATCAGACAGCTTTCACTCAGTCCAGGGTCAAGGCTGTATTCACGCTTCCTTCACACACCGACAGCTTAATGAGAACATCACTGCCTTTGCTTTCAGCTTAGAATATTCCTTTAAACTGACTAATGATAAGGTTCATTTACATTTCTTTACCAGCAACACAGGAACTGCACACAGCATGCAATAGCATATCAATAAATCAAACAGTTCTGGAAAAACAGGGGTGAAATGAGCTGCTGGGCTCCTATTTCACAGATGACATTCAGGTAATTGTGAGTTACTTGAGAAGGTCCATCCAACTTTCATATGAAGTATGAGTAAGTATATGAAATATTCAGAACCAACCCTTCAGTAAATTGTGGTCTATGCTAAACTGTCAAAAAAACGATGACATTCACATGATTCACATGTGTGTTCCTACAAATCCTTAAGTGCAACTCAAATATTCAAATGCACAGGCCCTGTCTCAGGTCGACTATTTTCATTTCCTCGGTCCTCGGTCTCACCGGAAGTTGATTTGTCTGCGCCATCTTGAGTACCGTCCCATGGCTCTTATTTCTGCCGGAGGATCGAGGATTGAGGAGCGAGGAGCGATAATGGAGGAGCGATAATCGAGGAACCACCAGTCCATCCTCCGATGAAATCCTCAGATACTCGCCCCGCCCCCTTACTGTGTATCGCTCACTGATTGGACGATGCAGTGCATGCGCTGATCTCATGCTTCTTGTTCTTGACATGAGAGCAGTACCCCAGCGCAGCGCCGTACCAGCGGAGTGAAGAAAATAAATGAAACTCACAAGAGTCACTCCTCAGTTTAAACTGTGTTTTGTTTCAATTAATGTGTCATTTAGTTACAAATATGTGATATATCTGAACAACAAAGTGGTCAAAAATAATTTTATTCATTTATTGGAAACATTTTCATGATCGCTTTTTTCGTTTTA